TTTTTTTTTTTCCAGGAATCGAGAAGTTTCTTCATCAAGGGAGCCTAACATTCATAATCAGCTCCTCTTTGATGTTTCATTTTTTTGAGCATTCATCTATTAACCCAATCTTTCCTGGATATTTGGATTCAATTTTCAGAGCATAGATTAGAACATGATGATTGCCAAAAGAAAAAGTGTATATGACTGCCAAAAACATAGCATTTTTGTAATGAATCAAATGACAAAGTACCCTATGCTTACAAAGTGAGAATGAGTTTTAAGTAAAGATGTTATATAGTTAGGGTAGCTAGGAAATTATCAGTTAAACATATTTGTTTATTACTGGAGATCAAAAGCCACTCCCAGATTTCACATGAATGAAATTTATGAGTGCATGAGTTACAAATATTTCTCCAGTCTATTACCCTTGTTATTGCTGATGAATGGTCACACATTAACTATGTCATTGTAAGGTTTGTAAAAATGCCTCTTGCTCCCTGTTTTAAGATGAATTGTGCAGCATGTTAGTGGAGGGAATGCTTTGCTTTCTAAGAGAATATATCTTTGCTTACTGGGCTAAGCACATAACTTAAAAGCTTATGGACTGTTATTGTGATTCTGTTTACTCTTACATTCTAGAAAACATATTAAACTAAATATAATTCTTATTGTTTGAATATGCGGACTTCCAAAATTAGGCAATTTTTGCAATGAGATGTATTTTAGACCTTCTAAACTTCTTAATCACTGTCAATTCCTGGCAGGTTTTAGTGCTTGGGCAGCCTGGCGAGGAGGTTAGTTTGCAGTTGATACTAAGAGTAGTTGCTGATGTTGGTCTTGTAGTAAGTATTGCTTATATTTTTCCTTTTCCTGGTGTACATTCATAAATATGTGCTTATGTGCTGTGTGCATACCTTCAATTTTTGAATATGCTTATGGTGAATGTATATTTATTGGACATATACATAAATGAAACTCTTTAACCAGTAAGGTATCTATAATCATATTCTAATTTTTTGAGATATTTTGTCTCGTTTACCTTCTACTGAATCTTTTTTGGGATTGCTTAACATTCGTTTTGTACTAATTGATCAAATGTTTCAGGAGGTGATGGGGGTGGAAACTGAATTGACAACTGACAAAATGGCAACTGAACCAAAACCAGCCCTGCCTAGGAGGGGTTCGGTTTCTCCTAGACTAGATTGACCTTCTCTAACGTGATTATTATCATTCATTTATATTAGATGTTTGCAGCCCTTTAAAAAAATTATATTAGATGTTTGGTAACTTATCCAATAATATACTTTCCAATAAAAAACTTATCCAATAATATATAATCATTTCCCTTGAAAAATTGCAGTTCTAGTAATTTGTCTATCAAAATTTGATTGACTCTTTCCTGTTTCAACCCACCTATCGATCAGCCATCCGATGTGTCCCCAAGTTAGGCCATTGCATTATGAAATCATCCAAGCACCAGTGAATAAACAGAGAGGATATATCTAAATGAAAAGTCTGATTTGGATGACTGATACCAATGAGGTCTGTCAATTCTTTTGTGATGAATTAATGATATAATATTTTTTCATCTTTTTAGCTAGTATCTGTTCTATTAATAGGATTGGAAAACTTGTGTTATGGACACTGCCTATGTTCTGCAGATTGTCTAATGGTTTCTGGATTGACTGGCATGAAACATTTGATCGCTATGAAACAAACCTGAAGCATGTGAGAGGAATTGTCCCTCTTAACTTTTTTCCCCCTTATTTGTTTTTACAATAACACATTAGGATATATATTGACAGAGTGTGGGTAAAAAAATCTAAGTTTTACACACTTACTGAACCAGTGTATCAAGAACACATGGCTGTCTTTTTTTTTTGGCCAGGGGAGTGTATATCTAAATTACATGGCTTATTGAGGGTTCTGATTGATATGGAATGGATCCAAAATGTCAATTGATCCAAATTATTTGCTTTCTGCTATACTTTTTTGGTTGATAGAGTGCTGAACGTGTTGATGTGAATTATAGATATTGATATACTAAGCATCAATTCTACCTACTACTTGAGATTTATATGCTTGTTTTTTAGGGACTCCCAAATGCTGGAAAATCAACTCTATTGGCAGCCATTACGCTGGCAAAGCCTGAGATTGCTGATTATCCATTCACAACCTTAATGCCAAACCTTGGACGTCTTGATGGTGATCCTATGTTGGGGGCAGGGAAATATTCATCTGAAGCAACATTGGCAGATTTGCCTGGTCTTATTGAAGGTGCTCATCTGGGGAAGGTATTTAAGCACTGTATTATTTTTTGCACTCTATTCTTCTTCTTCTGCACTTTATTATTTTTGAATTCTATTGGTTAACATTTACTGTTCTAATCTTTCAGGGTCTTGGTCGAAATTTCTTGAGGCACCTGAGGAGAACTCGGTTATTGGTCCATGTTGTTGATGCAGCTGCTGAGGATCCTGTGAATGACTACAGAACTGTAAAAGAAGTACGTTTATCCTCAATCGGCAAGTTTGTTCTAATATTTTGTCCTCTTACTTTGTGCCTAAAGACACTTTGTAATACAAAAAATCGAACATTGATCGTGCAAAAGTTATATTTTACATAATAATTTTTTTTTCTTTTTTTCTAATTACACAATTTAAAATTAAAATGAACAGGGAGAAAATAAAAGAAAGATGGGTGTAGATTAATGAGATTGTCTGGCATTGAAAAGTGTGTTAATTAAGTAGTCTAACATTGGAGGCCATGTAAAGAATAAGATATTTTTGAGTGAAAAAATAAATTTGGGGATGAATTTTGTGTTATTGGATTAAAATAGATGAAAATTGAGACAATTTTGACCATTGTGCTTTCATGAATTGAGAATTCAACTTTCTAGATGTAATATTTCATAAATTATACATAGCAATAATGTCATGCCTGAAAACACTTAGTAATACCAAAAATTGAGCATTTGATCGTGCAAGATTTATATTTTAAATAATATTTTTTTTTAATTACGCAATTTAAAATTAAAGTAAACAGAGAAAAAATAAGAGAGAGGTAGGTGTAGATTAATGAATAATGATATTGTCTGGTATTGGGAAGTGTGTTGGTTAAATTATCTAACATTGGAGGTCGTGTAGAGAAGATAATATTTTTGAGGGGGGAAAACATGTGGGGATGAATTTTGTGTCACTGAATTGAATAAATCTTGACCGTTGTTGTTTCAACTTACTAATTGTGATTGTATCTGATTACAAAAATTGTTGCTAATTCACAAGGTCCTTGGCTAAACTTTTATTTGGGTATTACCATTTTTTCCTTTGTTCTCTTAATCTCCCTTTTGCTGTTCTTCTCTTTTTACTCCGTTTCTAATATGGGAAATTGTTTTCTCAAAAAAAAATGTGGGAAATTGGAAAACTTAGCCGAAGTCTTGTCAGATTGTCAAGATATAGCTTTTGTTGTTCTCCTTGTGGTTAGCTTTTGTTGTTGATTGTTTTGTACAAGGTAACCCCCTTATTCACATAAAGAAGATAACAACACTCTTCTACCCTGGGTAAAGTATTGTTCGTCTATTTTTGGCTCATTGACTTATTTGGGTTACATGTTCCTGTATTTTTACGTCATGGCAATGATATCTTTTACTTTATTGTTTCCAGTAGAAGAATTTCGAACATTTGGTGATTGCACATGTCTGATTGAATGGCCTGGACAAACTTCACATTTTCTTAATCAGACACAGATTGTCATTTATTTGCCTCCACTTGCACATTTATTGAATTCCCTTATTTTGATTTTGCAGGAATTGCGCATGTACAATCCTGATTATCTTGAACGGCCATATATCGTGGTGCTCAATAAGATAGATATTCCTGAGGTATGTGACTTTGATTGTATCTTAGCTGATACTGCTTTTTAACTGAAAATTGTATTTTTACTGGTGCCAAAGTGTTTTATATGTCAATACTATGTGCAACTTATCAATTAACTCTCACGAGGCTTTAACTTTCACAATGATTATGACTATAGGCAATGCTTAGGCTTCCATCTTTGACTCAAGAAATATGGAGAATCGGATGCGATAAGATACCTTCTAAGTCTGAGACAAGCTCTGTAACTGCAGTTCAATCGTCGTCCAGTTACAGGGAAAATGCAAATGATCTTTCTTCTGGGATCCCTGATAAGGATCAGAAGGTTAAAGAAATCGAGGAGTATCCACGCCCTCTAGCTGTTGCGGGTGTTAGTGTCTTGTAAGTTCAAACGCAGTTTCCATTTTTCTTCGCAATAGTTTCATGTCCGCTACCCATCATAAAGTATGTTTTATAACAAAATCCAGATAATGTGCTTCTTCTTTGACTAAAGAACTAAAAAACCATTATGTGTTTTAACTAAGTATACAATTCCACATAGAGATGAGCTAATTTGCTTATGCTCAGCATATCCAATCAAACCAACCTGCCTCAATTTCAGGATCCTTTGGGAAATGAGTACACAAGACTGACTTTAATTTAATTCTTCCTTGAGAAAACTCTAGAGAATGTGCTTTTGAAGGTTTGTGGATCTCATCATTTTATGAGGTAGCGGTGGTTTTGCTTTGAACGTTTTCCCATATTTTTTGTTCAGTATATTGCTTCCAGATGATCCTTAGTTTTGTGTGTGTGATAGAAAAAGAAATGTAGGAATGAAGTTCTAATGATACTGATACCTAAGGCATGTATAAACAGCATAAGCTATAAGCCAAACTACTTCTTTAATGGCTTCTATTTGTGAAAATGATCCACCATTTTGCTTACGTTCATTGTTTCTTGTTTTGTAAATTCTTTGGCATTTTATTTTAAACCAGTCACTAAGTCAAATATGCTTGGTGGATAAATTTTGTTTTTTTTTTCCGGATCCTTTACTGGCATGTGTTTCTGTGTATTATCGCGAAGTTCTCCTGTCTCGCAGGAAAGGAATTAGGGTCAGTGAAATATTGGAGGAGATAAGGGCTGCCTTGCGTAAGCAATTAAAGTATCCTTGGAACCATAAGAACTTTGATAATTGTGACTCTGCATATCACCCGATCGCGAATGGTTAACTTGAGACGTTGGGCCTTTAGGTTGGCCAACTTGTTCTCCCAAGCAGCAGGACATTTACTAATTAACAACTCCCCTGCCACCCCGTGCTGGAAATGGGTACACCGTGTACAATTCTTGTGTTGTGGCGGCTCCTTGCCAAGTTCTCATTTCTATGATCTTGGATTTGTCTATAGAATGGATACGGTTGCTCTAGTTGTAGATTGCTTTTGTTTGATATAATTTAGATGTTGTAAATTCCAACCCCTAAGCTAATACTTTCTATGCCTGTTTTCATATGTGCCAATTCTGTGTTATATGATTGACGTGAGTGCACTTCCACATTTTGAGTGGGCTGGAAGTGCCATAACCTGTCGTATGATACAAAGAGAGGAGACAGTTAATGTCAATCTTGATACTTTTGTTCCTGCAATTTCATTCTGTAGACTCAATTGACGATGCGACTGTATGGAGGAGGAGGCATTTAACTTAACTGGATTTTCTCTTTTTAGATGGCAAGACTATTATCTAGTTTGGTTTTAGTTACTGATTTTTCCATAATACCCCAAAAGCTAAGAAAATATAATAAAAATTAGGAAAGGAAACTTACAAACTCAGAGAAGGAAAGCAGGTGAAGAGACCTCTGCACAAGCAAACCCAAGGAAAGGCTGTGTGAGAGGCAAAGGTGGTCCAGGAATGCTGCTCGTAACTACAAATGTGTCCAGCAGCAAACTTGGGGCAAACAAATTGGTGGCCAAAATGCGTACAGTTCACGGCTTTGGCTGCTGGGTACTTTTGAGAACTCCTATGCTTCTGCTGCACGGAAACTCTTGTGCCCAGAGGCAACGATCACTTGCCTAAGTCATACACTAAGTCTCAATTTCCATCTCCTCTTCCACCAACGTCATATACTGGGGAGAATGGCGTTTACTATGTGCATATTTATGTGTATTAATTTGCTTAAATGTCAAGAAAGGATATTGGTCGTAGCTATATAAGAAAAGAGTATAACAATTATTGTAGTCTAAGTCTTTGAATTGTTTATTTTCAGCCCCTCTAATCTATAAACACTTGTCTTACTTCAAATAATAGTCGCAAGCCAGGAACGTGTTGACATATCGTTTTCCAAAAAAATCAAATGCCATAAATATATCACGCATATATATATATAATATAGGTGGTGATGCACAAATGATCCTCTAGTTGAAAGTACCAGTAATTAAATGAGTGAAATTTTTAGTAGGAAAAAATACCAAGTAAATTAAATTTAGGTAGCCAATCCAATGGATTTTATATCATTCTAGTAGTCAGTTGGAAGTGTGACGAGGTCCTATTTGTTGCCAAAAATGCATAACCTAATCAATGTTCACATTACAATGACAATTCAGTATGAGTTTACACATTTTTTTATATTTCTATTATACTCGCTCTTTAAACGGATTACAATTTCAAAATAGAATCCTTATTATCATTCCACATCCTTTCACTAAGGAAAAACAAAATACAATACAATTATAAGGGTCTCTATATCCCTCAAGTCACTTCTCTCCTATATCACACCAGTGAATCCTCAAAAAAAAATAAGTTTCATATCATCAAAACTTGTCTAAACAAAACTTTTTAACTACTCATTTCTGATCACTTCTTTCCACCGCCTACACCATATCTCATCTAGACATCTCTTCTCTTCTTCTTTGTTATGTGGTGAGTTCCCAGATTTCTCTTTGCTAGTTTCTCTTTTTCTTGCCACCAACATGATCTGGAGCAGCCCGATAATGCTCAAGTTCAAGAAATTAGTCAATTCTCCAGCGCCTGAATTATCTCCGAGAAATGGTGTTGCGTATGAAACAACAAAATAACATCATAAGGTAATATTAAAAACAATGACATAGAATTTGAGATATTGCAACTAAAACATGTCATTTTATTATGTTTATTTAGTTAGGAATGGAAAAAAAAAAAAAACATGAATGATGTTTTTTATTTTTTGAATAAAGATGGAATTGTAGTAATGGATGATATAGAGCTATTTGGAGAAGGGTGAGACAAAGCAAGTGAGTGATGGGGAAAAAGGAAGATGAGGTTACACAGCTACTAGTTAGGCCGCCCCTAAAGGTTGGGACAGATATATAGAGGAATGGAAGTCGTGTCATGGACCATGCTAATGGTACAAAGATTATGAAAGCAGGTAGTGGAGATTAGTTAGTCAATAGGACTGAATTATCATTGAATGATTTTAAGATTTTGAATGAGAACACTATTGGACATGACATTTGTTGGAAGGGAGATTTATATTTCTATGAAATGAAGTTGGAAGAGGAAGGAAAAACTTCAAGAACAGAGAGGAGAATGACCCTTCTATTGAACTTGAATATCAAATTTGGCTTGCGCAAATGGTTATACAAGAACCTTATTTATAGGGCTAAAGTCAAGCTTCTATCATCCTCTAACCACCTAATTTAATTCATCTTTCAACAACTAGTAATTACCACACTAGATATTTTTACAAAACTTAGAATATTCTACAAATAAAGTACTAGAAAGTGGGTCAAGTTGGGACATGCAACATGGATCTATCAGGGGCCATTAACTCTTAGGCTTATTATACCATAATATTGGGCCAAGATCAAGATTATTCTTCAACAACATTTGTTCAAACACTGTAAAACCCTCCCTCTGGAAGATTTTATATGTGAAATACGTATGCATATATGCACTTTTTTTTATACTATCTGCGTTATTTAGTTTTTTGTGATGTCTGTATTTGGATCAATTATGGGTTTAAGATAAAATGGTTGAAGATGAGGAAACAAGGGAGATAGAGATCATAGAAGTGGAGAGATACGTCATACAAGTATGCCTGGGGCTGGGAATTGGAAAGTTGAAGAAAAATAAAAAACAGGGAGTTGAGAAATAGATAGACGTGTAATCCTCAGACAAACATAGGGAACTGGAAAGCTGAAACGTGAAATTACGAGATATGGTTTATGGTAAGAGGAGGTTAAAAGCCGCAATAGTAAGTGTGTTGGGTAAAAGAACTTGGACTTCATACAAAGGGGGCAAACTAGCATTTATGTCTACCGTATGAACTTAATCTCCGGGTAGCATTTAACGAAACAAACCTAGCCTTGTCTTCTAGCCATTTGGGTTGAACTTTAGAGCTGGGCATTGTAGCCTTAGGTTCCATAGTCATTCAGATTTTAATCATTCAGTGTTTTTCATGACCGTGTATTCAAGGCATTCACATCTGACAAATTAAAAGACATTAAAGAAATACCAAATCTGAAAGAAAAACGAAAGATGATCAGCCGTAGTCTTATTTGAAAAAAAAGAAAACTATCTAGGAGTTATTAGCCAGATAACCGTCTATAAAGACAAAATCATTGAAAATAATAACTATAAAAAATAAACAAGAAAGAAATTAAAGGATACATTCAAACTCCCACATAACCCACGATCTGAGCATTTTTAGGAGTAGTGTTCACTTAATTTTAAGAAATAATTATTATTGTAATCAAAACTGTTAATTCAATCTTTTTGTAATAGAAAGCTCTTTGCTTGGATTAATAAAGAAATTCTCTTTTAATAGTTCATTGTTATGTGTGTTTATCCCTTTAAAATTCATCCAAAGAAGTACCGAAACAAACAATTGAACACATCACAAGCAATTGCCTGAGAACTATATGTCGAATGATTCCTCCGTCGATAACAAATTTTGGAACAACACCAGTGTAAAGGCTTGTAACCTGATGGAAGGGGCAGGGCAGTAGGCACCAGAAATGGAAGATAAACAAGTTCAGACAATAAAATCATCAAATTGAAAATTGTGGACATGTTATGATTAGTAGAAACCTTTTTTTTTTTTAATACTGGAGAATGTTTCGAGTCTTTGGCAGAAAAAGTGGATATTGGGTTTCATCAACACTGTTGCATTAATAACTGTTTATACTATCTTTATATCCATGTGCATGGCCCAATAAGCGATAAGACAATAAACAATGAGAGTGGATAAAAATTGCATAGGATGTATATAATTGGAGTGGACGGGTTCTAATCTTAGAGAACAATGCTAAAGGAATAATTCTCTTACTATAATGCAGCTACAGAGGGTTCTGATGATAATTTCCAGTATCTGTTGTGAAACCATAAAGAGTCAGCTTCGACAGCATATTCATCTTGATTTCGATGCCAACTGAAATAAGCATGAGTCTTGTTCTTAATATCAAAAATGCCGTGACCAAAGCTGGCTTCTCGATAAGCTGAGTACCTCGGTTGTGGTTCTGTCATCCTGCAAACAGATAATGTAAATTATCCAGTTACGATTTAGAAAAAGTATGTTCAGAAGCATCATTTCCAAATTCCAAGAAATTACAGATTATTAGAGATATAGCATAACATACTCGGTTGCCAATCCTTCTTGATTTCCTCCATCTCCAATGGTGATGTAAATGGGAGCAGAGTGGTCACTTACTGGAGTGCACAACCCATTCACAACATTGTATTCAATATTGGATACACGTTCCTGTGATGCGAACATATAATGGCATTAATCAACATTTGAATGTGCTTTACTGTTAAGCCTGAAGTAGTTGTTACGTCCAACATCATAGCTTTTTTCCAAGTTTGGAACAACGAAAACAGAACGAAGTAGTGATGGATAGAAAGGCCCAAAATAGTGAAAACTACATAATAGAAGTTAAACCACAACTAAAGAAAATAGAAGATATGGACATTAATTGGCCATTATTCATTATTGCACACAGACCCACCAAAAAGCAAAATGAAATGAGACTCAGAAAATCAAAAGTTATTTTCAGAATGAAGAGCCCATATTATGAATCTATTAAATACAGTTTAAAGGAGTATGGGTACTTACGGATCGTTCATAGGCATGAACATGACCAGCAAAGACAACATCAACTTTGTACTGCACAAACCAAGACTCATACATCACTCGCATGGATTCCCCTTCCATAAAATGATGTACATAACTACTATACATTGGAGAATGCATGAGTACAATGAGCCATGGTGTCTCACTCCGGTTAACTTTGGGTAGCTCGTTTGTGACCCATTTGTATTGAGGCGTGTATTTACCTACAAATAGATAAGTTGATGAATGTACAATATTCACACACTTGCATCAGTAAACAATATATCAATTCGTATATGCTTCATTTTGTTAATAACACCTTCTTCCTCAAAACTGTTTCTCAATTAAAATTGAATCCACCGTAAGCACGTCTTTAGAATGTCATTGGTGTTTAAGACCAGATTCATTCAAGTGAAAAATAGAATTCTTACCGTAAGCAGAGTAAGAAGACATGATAATGATGTGTGCCGAAGCTCTCCTTATCGAGTACCAAAGAGGAGACGTACTATCTGATGCTTGGTATGGCACAAAAAAACGGTGCGTATAGGGTTTAAAAGGTTTAGGTTCACCCTGCAACATAGAGGCCATTATTTTGAGGATTACAGAGTTTGCAGCACTCAATAAAGTGCGTATGAAAAAAAACCACTGATTAAGAAGAAGATAGTTGATATATGACACATAAACACCAAGCTCAGGGTCTACAGCTGGTAGAAGTTTGAAGTCAAAAGTATATACAAGTAAACTTCGACATACTTCTGTGTAGTTCTAAAACTTCATGCTCCACAATTTATTTCATTGATAAAGGCAGTGAGTTTTTTTAACTACATTGAGCCAGTTTGAAGGCAAGACTTGAATATGGAAAAAATCAATTTATTCAATGCATTCATCTCAAACCCTCTGTTGTGAATAATTCTTTAAAAGGAACAAAAGAAGTAAACAAAAGTGCGTTTTACTAGGAATAGATAATAGATAGGTATAAGATACATACAATTTCAGGAACAAAATCAAGTTCATGATTCCCTGCAGACCAAATCCATGGTTGATATGCAGCATTTCTCTCTATAAACCTGCCCCAGGTATCCCACCTGGTATTGTCATGAAATGGATAATTATCANTTCAAGGCATTCACATCTGACAAATTAAAAGACATTAAAGAAATACCAAATCTGAAAGAAAAACGAAAGATGATCAGCCGTAGTCTTATTTGAAAAAAAAGAAAACTATCTAGGAGTTATTAGCCAGATAACCGTCTATAAAGACAAAATCATTGAAAATAATAACTATNCAGCATAAGAGAGATCCCCAACGTACAATAACGTCTGTCCTTTTGCAGGGTTTAACTCATAATGAGTAAGTGTGCNAACCTGCCCCAGGTATCCCACCTGGTATTGTCATGAAATGGATAATTATCAGCATAAGAGAGATCCCCAACGTACAATAACGTCTGTCCTTTTGCAGGGTTTAACAGTTGGAGTCATATGTCTGACCAAGATCCCCTGCTCACAATGCTCAAGAGAGTCAGGTTACAACAGTAGTACTATATATAAATGCTATATGTTTGTCATTTATTCAATGGGGTTTCCCCCCGGTATAGTGTATGAGACCACTTTAAATATCGGCCTTTACCAGGTTATTGAAACCAGAACAACATGCACATTGATAAGTATATGAGTCTTTATTCGAATCCAATGCACAGAATGAACAACTTTGCAAGCAAATTGACTAGTTCAAAATATTACCTATGAGACCAAATGTATAAGGAACTTCAGGACCAACTTTGGGAGGGGTTCTAAACCAAAATTGTCGCGTTGCATTCCCAATCCCCACAATATAGTAGTATTTGGTATCATACTGCAGTGATAGGAAAATATTTCAATTACTTCAGATAAATAAAAAATACTTAATTAAGCCCTCTATATCTCTCTGTAAATTTATGAATTTGCAAAGTACACGGTTAAATAGACCCCCTGCAAGACTTACACACCTCCAAATTCTGGATGGTGCAGTGATGAATGTAACCAGAAGTGTAATTGAAGTACTTGTAGGTAACAACAAGACCATCTGCACTATTCTTGAGCTGGCTATTCTCAGCCCAATAGAGTACTGTACTTGAACCGGGCTCATCGGGAGTAATCCAAGAGACAATCACACCCTTTCCCTCATAATCCCCTTGAGTTATGTGGACCTTCGAACAAGACAGACCCACGTCAGGAAAAAAAAAATACCCAAATCATTGAAAATCGATAACAAGTGAAATATGAAGTGGGGAGCATCTGTTTTACATCAAAAGGAATAGAAAAGACAATCTTTACAATAGAAGCGTATCCCCCACTTCTTAATTTTCATCATGTAGTACCCAACCTTTGCTAAATTAAGTTTCATTTATGTTTAACACAAGCAGCATCTAAAGAAGAGATTTCTACTGGTTTATCTCTTTCTTCAGCTTTCTTAGCAACCAAACGGGTTACTCACAGTATTCTCCCACCCTCAGAAATAAAGGAAAACAATCAAACATATAATCATCAATAAGGAGGTGAAAAAAGAGGATTAATAGCACAAAAATACCTGTTGCGGAGCATTGTAACCGGGAGGCACTCTAAATACATCGCTGTCCACTGGCATATCAAGACTTTGGTCATTCTTCCTCACAAAATTACTGGTTATTCCTCCATTGCAGAACTGCACAGCATTCAAGATCAAACCCACAAGAAGATAAACAAATCCAGCACAAACCCACTTCAAACCCATCTTTCAACCCAAACTTCAAATTCCAGATTCCAGTTCAACCTCAAACACCCCTCACGAAAATTTCTAAAACTCAGCTCCTTAAAATTGATGGTACAAGACGAGCTTGGAGAAGGTGCGAAGAATATTCACCGTTTGATACGAATACCACAATCGAAGAACCTCTGAGACTGAGACACATGCAAAGCTTCAGTTAATGAGCTGGAGTGCACAGTAAAACAAACACAAATTAATGTTATTTTCACTAAATTCATAAGAATTCAGATAGGATGAATAAAGTTCAACGTTGTATCTGCCAGTATTTGCGTTTACCGACAGTTAACTTTGCAGNAATCGAAGAACCTCTGAGACTGAGACACATGCAAAGCTTCAGTTAATGAGCTGGAGGGCACAGTAAAACAAACACAAATTAATGTTATTTTCATTAAATTCATAAGAATTCAGATAGGATGAATAAAGTTCAACGTTGTATCTGCCAGTATTTGCGTTTACCGACAGTTAACTTTGCGGGGTGGGTTGGACATGTATTGGTCCGTCCTTGGGCTAAATGAGGTGGGCTGGACATTTATTGGTCCGTCCATGGGCTAAATGAGTTCTAATGAATCTTGATAAAGTACGGTTCATACAGCCCTATTTTTGGGCCTATAATAAGAGTTCTTTGAAAATCGGTACACTTACTTAGATTTATTTGGTAAAAAGTACATAAAATAAAATATTTTAAAAAAAATATACAGCTGAGTTACAAAGACAAAAATGCTCATTTTAGGGTCATTTAATTCAAAATCTTTTATCTTTAATGTACCTTAATTCATGTATTTTTGTTAATACATATAAATACGTATTTAATACACATTGATTCATGTGTGTTTGTTAATACATATAAATACGTATTTAATGCACCTTGATTCATGTGTATTTGTTAATATATATATATACTTATTGTTAAATCTCTTATTTAAATTTTGGATTATCTTTAATGCACCTTAATTCATGCGTATTTTTTTTTTTTGAAANTTGATTCATGTGTGTTTGTTAATACATATAAATACGTATTTAATGCACCTTGATTCATGTGTATTTGTTAATATATATACTTATNTAAATGAGTTCTAATGAATCTTGATAAAGTACGGTTCATACAGCCCTATTTTTGGGCCTATAATAAGAGTTCTTTGAAAGTCGGTACACTTACTTAGATTTATTTGGTAAAAAGTACATAAAATAAAATATTTTAAAAAAAGTATACAGCTGAGTTACAAAGACAAAAATGCTCATTTTAGGGTCATTTAATTCAAAATCTTTTATCTTTAATGTACCTTAATTCATGTATTTTTGTTAATACATATAAATACGTATTTAATACACATTGATTCATGTGTGTTTGTTAATACATATAAATACGTATTTAATGCACCTTGATTCATGTGTATTTGTTAATATATATACTTATTGTTAAATCTCTTATTTAAATTTTGAATTATCTTTAATGCACCTTAATTCATGCGTATTTTTTTTTTTGAAAAGTGAATTTGTTTTTAAATTATATTTAACGCACCTTGATTCAAACTTTTTTTTTTTTTGGAAAATGGTTTTATTTTAAAATTAATTTAATATCCGAATAATGTAATAGTGTAAGAAATACACTGTAACAAAAACAATGTTCAGTAGTTTTGTGTNGTTTTTTTTTTTTTTTTGGAAAATGGTTTTATTTTCAAATTAATTTAATATCCGAATAATGTAATAGTGTAAGAAATACACTGTAACAAAAACAATATTCAGTAGTTTTGTGTATATAATAACAAATTCAAAACGGAGATGAACTATTTTGAATGAAATTATATGAAACTATATGTTTGACAAAATATAATAGTACAATATTTTATGTAAATAACTTGTTATACTGTTATTGTTATACTGTTACACTTTTATTGTTACACTATTACACTATTCAGATATTAAATTAATTTGAAAATAAAAATATTTTCCAAAAAAAAAATGCATAAATCAAGGTGCAATAAAAGATAATTTAAAATTTAGATAAGAGATTTAACAACAACTATATACATACATACATACAAAAGTATATATATATATATAACGCATGAATCAATGTGTATATATATATATGTATTAAAGTTTTTTCCAAAAAACTAAGAGATGTTTAATGCACCACTTTTCAAAGAAAAGTGGTGCATTAAATACGCATAGATTAATGAAGGGTAAAAATGTCTAAAAAAATCAGTAAAATTCAAATAATGTATTTATANTTGACAAAATATAATAGTACAATATTTTATGTAAATAACTTGTTATACTGTTATTGTTATACTGTTACACTTTTATTGTTACACTATTACACTATTCAGATATTAAATTAATTTAAAAATAAAAATATTTTCCAAAAAAAAAAATGCATAAATCAAGGTGCAATAAAAGATAATTTAAAATTTAGATAAGAGATTTAACAACAACTATATACATACATACATACAAAAGTATATATATATATATAACGCATGAATCAATGTGTATATATATATATGTATTAAAGTTTTTCCAAAAAACTAAGAGATGTTTAATGCACCACTTTTCAAAGAAAAGTGGTGCATTAAATACGCATAGATTAATGAAGGGTAAAAATGTCTAAAAAAAAATCAATAAAATTCAAATAATGTACTTAGATACAAATAAGTATCAAAATTAAGGACTTAATTACTCAACATTTTTTTCTATATACTTTTTTACAATTAAATCTAATTAGGTGTATCTCCTTCCAATTTTCCCTTTAATCAAATATATAATATCTTATACATGAATATTATATGTAGTATTGATGTACTAAAATCCATCTATACCACTTTTGTAAATTAGTGATTGAACATACTACATTTTTGATGAAATTTATTTTTTGCTTTAAAAAAGATTAGATTTAACAAACAGTACCTAAGATTTTTGTGAAACATTAATATATTTTTTGGTGGCTAGTAAAAGGTGAAGTAGAGGGAAAATGAAAGTAAATTAAACTAACACAAGCTAAAAAATATCTAACTAAATACGACTCTTCTTGATCACTGCTTCATCCACTAAATTCTGATTCATCTACCTAAAAGGTTGACATGTTAATGTATCACAAATAATTTTTTACGATGGCATAAACTAATTTTTGAGTTTTGTACTCATAAATAATTTTTTCGACATCATTGCATAAAAATTAAATTTAATAATTTTTTTTATAAATAAAAAATTATCATTGACAATAACCGTTAAATAATCTCTTTGAATTAAATTTTAATCTCTATCATTGTTAGCCCCCTCCTCAAGATAAAATTCTGGTTCATCTGGCTTTACAACGTCGGCCCAATTGATCATAAATACCAACGAAACAACATATGAAATATCAGAGAATTCAACACTATTGTGAAACTAATTAATAAACCACATGCAGGAAAAAACCCCTCCCTTATAAGTCAGCAAGACCAATATTAAGTAAGCAATACAACTGTTACGACAAACTGAGATATATTCGATAAGCAAGTGTATAGAACTGTATGACTCTTTCATAAGTCTCTGCTCCTTCCTCAAGTGGGATAGTCCCTCCTTGCACTATGTGGAATACATTACTACCATATTTTTTATTAAATTTCATTTGAACTTGCGCAATCTAATATACCGACAGGAAATAGACCANTTTTTGGCCCAAATTTTTAATTTTTGTATTGATTTACTCTTTCAAAAATTATTTTGTTAAGCTATATTGTAGTAAATTTTATTTTTTAATTTATATTATATTATTGATCTTTAAATTTGAAGTCTTTTTCATATGTGAGGTCTAAAGCTTATGCTTGGCCTTGCGTTACTTTCCCTGTCTCTCTCTTATTTTCTCTCTATCTACCATTGATAATTTATTTATATTTGATGTATTTTTCATCTCTCTCCTTTATTTTCTCTCTCTTCCATAATTTTTCTCATTATTTCTCTTTCTCCTATTTTCTCTCTTTCTTTAATTAATATTACAACAACTCAATTACACTAGTCAGTTACAATGTATATAATAAAGTAGGTAGAAAAGTTTGTCTTCAACTTTTCGTGACTCAAATCACTTGACGATTATTAATCCAATGGTTTTCATGCAAAATTTTTCTAAGACTTCTATCTCTAATCTAACTCTCTCTTTATATATATATATATATATAACAAAATAAATATAATATCAATTAAAACTCTAATAACAAGAATTATTTCTAGCAAACTATAGATTCATTAACATATGTCGATTAGAACGAATCCAAAAAATTTATTTAGCGTAGACACTTTAATTATACACTCTAATTTTTTTTTTCCTAACCAATCACACTATATAATATATTATTCAATAAACGATGTTCTAAATATTATCACTACAATATTAGCATAGTAAAATTATTAAACTAAAATTTAAGAGGTAAACATAGTATACAAATAAAAATTTGATTGACATATAATAAAGACTATAATCAATACTCGAATAAAAATAAAAGATAATTTTTTATAAGAAAAACAAAGTGAAATGAGAATCAGTTGAAAGAACTTTCACTTACAAAAAATCATAATAAAATGAAAGTTATCTAAAAAAAGTCTTATTATAATAAAAAATACTAAGTAATTGAAATAAGANAAACTTATGTTCCACTTTCCCTTCCATGGAAACCTTGCCTACAAAGTATAATACTTGCTTTCAGAAGTGTGGAGTACTCGGGAACAAACCATACGTTCTGGAAAAAAAATCACAAATGTGGCGCAGGAACCAGAGGATCATGAAGAAACTATATTACATTTAGCCACAGCTATGTGGCCTGGGTATATAACAGGGGTTGTGGACATTGATAGCGATCGCATGATACCACTGCAAAGAAATATAACACAAAGTCCTATCTGATTGAGACACTTCATGTTTATTGTAACACTGTGCCTGTTAATAGTTACATTCAATGAGCCTGATCACGTAAGTTATGCATGACGCTACTAGCAACACTGATCCAGGTTAAGACAGCTCTAAAGCATTTGTTAGGTTCAGCGCAATTGACTCACTTCACTGACCAAACATTTAATTTGAATCGTCACAAGTCACACATCTTCCTGATAGAACAAAAAAAATATTATTTGGCTTATGCTAATCACAACCAAAATCACAAATTGTTGAAGTAGCTTTACAGTAGAAGATGTAGGCAAGGTCTCTTTGAAAAGGAGGAGAAAGCACAAGATCAGAGCAAGTTCATGCTAACTGGCCACTCAAATCATGACCTCAAATTGTTTAGATTTGACAAGAAATAAACCCATCAGCTCCCAAATCTTTTTTCTTTTTGTTTGTTTTGAAAGGGAGGGAGGTTGAGGGGGTTGCAAGTTTGGATATGATACATTGTAACACTTTCCATGAAACTAGAATTCGTAAACATAAAAAAACCACATCAGCTATTCAAATTTAATACTCTCCTACTCAATCGTACAACATAAATATGAATACTGACAAGGCCTTTACATGGTCAAATCATAAAGTGGTCTTTAAGTCACTATAATAAGATATAAATTTTGTATATGCCAAAAGTTGATTATATTTTTCCCAGATAAGAAGGTACTCTATGTCCACACTAAATCACTTCACAATGTCCTCACAAAAAAGAAAGAAAACAACTCACTCATACATGGTCAAAAACATAATGTGTTTAAATTTTATGCCAAATCCCGAGTTAGCGCCAGTTCACATGCCCATTAATTCTTGTAGTGCCATATGTTCATAGATCAAGTTTAAGTAGAATAAGAGCATAACAATCACAATGACTACAGAATATGACTTTGGCAAACAAATATAGAAATATAGAAATTCTACAAAATGAAAGATGAAAAACGAAAATAAACATTACCATGATGTGTTTCCCCAAAAACGCACATTGGAACAAAGTCTTTGAACATATTCAAAGAATAAGTCTTGGGCATGTTTCCAACCCCATTGCCAGCCGTCTCCATTGTGAACTGATTGCCATTCAGGAAAGATGTCAGATAGCTCAAACAAATGATTCGCAGGGTCTATTTTTCACGCAAAAACAAAGCAAAATGCCTTGGGCTCCTACCATGAATAGGTTTTATGAATAAAAGCAAAATGACTTTTAACTTTGCAGATAGTATCAGTGTTGTTAAACTCTGTAAAGCACAATTCAAAAGAAAACATATGCAGGAAAATAATAAAAGATACTGGGACTTGGATGGGTTGCGTTCACATATGTCTTCTGATCCACAATCAAGTGTGAATCATATGATGTTTATCTTCAACACAACTAACGACCCAGATCAAACCAAAAAAGAAAAAACCAACTAATGAGCTCAAGTCAGAGAGGAATGATATAAAGCACTGAAGTTCCACTACTTCTATTAACCCTCACTTCCCAACAAAACTGTTCCCAGCAAAGACACGGCAAAAACAAATAATAGGGAAGTTATAAAGATGAAAAATATAGTAAACATTAGTAATTCGAACCACCCTATTTCAATATAGATGAGCAGAAACAATTGGCAAGAGGTCTATCCAGGCAATATCACATAGTTAGTTCAAAATTTTTCATAAGCTAGGGTTTTGAAGGCCATGTTGAAAATCTAATTATCCTAATTTACAGAACCCAATTTTACCGAAATAGTTAGCTAGAGATCATGATTCAATTGAAATCAGAATTTCAAAATCCGAATCAAAGGAAAAACGTGTGTGAGTGTGTATTGGATTAAGGAACAAATTGTAAGCAGCTATTAAGAATATGAATACGAATATAGATACATATGTGCGCGCGCGTGGAAGAAGGGAGGGGATACCTGGAGGGAAGAGGGGTCTTCGGAACGGAGAGGATCGAGAGAGACGACGACCTTGGCGACAGGCTGAGAATCAGAGGACGAAGCATGGGACTGCCATGACTTCGACACCACCACTGGGCACTTCATCAGCCACACCGATCTCTCTGCCTTAGCCGTATCCAAGTTGGTACTGTCACTATTACTGCCGTTGCTCTGATCTCCCTCCATTCTCTCTCTCTCTCTCTCTCTCTGCTTACTGTGTTAGGCTCTTTGTGCTAGTTTGGCGGTGGTCATGTCTGAAACATGAGGACTGAACCGGACTATGAATAACTAGGTTTTGAAGAAGGGTTTTTTTTTTTTGGGTGTATCTACGTTCTTTTTATACTTATTTGTGAGAGGTTGTATGGATAAGAATTTTACTTCATTCAGTTGAATTCTAACAAAATTTCTTGTACATAATTTTATTTTCTCCGGCTCTCCCCCCTATTTTCTCTCGATCATTCTCTCTCTATTATATGGCTCAACAATATTTGAGGCAACGACGGTCAATTAGACTTTTTTTATTTTTTTTATTTAAAATTTATTATTTTTAATTTTGTAATGAGATTCAAAATTATTAATTATTTTTTTATTCAAATTTTACTAATATATTTTTTTGATTAATAATATGACTTTTGATCATAAATATTTATAGGAATAAAATTAATTTCTTCATTAATATTTTTATATTCTTTTTACTTATTTTATATGTTTTTTTATTATAAATAAATTCATTGTTATCTTTCTTTTAGATTATTTTTCTATTTTTTAATTCTACTTATTTATCTATTCTATGTAACTTTTACCTAAATTTTTTATTATATTTTATTTTTACAAAGAAGATCTCTATCAAAACATTTTTTTTAATAAGAATAAATGGTTTAATTGGTGTTTTGCGTTCAAATAAAAAAAATGAATTTTATTAGTACTTTTTTTTTGTTAATTTTTTTTATTCTCTAATAAATGTGATAGTGTGAGGTGGTCTGGACTTTTTGGCCCAAATTTTTAATTTTTGTATTGATTTACTCTTTCAAAAATTATTTTGTTAAGCTATATTGTAGTAAATTTTATTTTTTAATTTATATTATATTATTGATCTTTAAATTTGAAGTCTTTTTCATATGTGAGGTCTAAAGCTTATGCTTGGCCTTGCGTTACTTTCCCTGTCTCTCTCTTATTTTCTCTCTATCTACCATTGATAATTTATTTATATTTGATGTATTTTTCATCTCTCTCCTTTATTTTCTCTCTCTTCCATAATTTTTCTCATTATTTCTCTTTCTCCTATTTTCTCTCTTTCTTTAATTAATATTACAACAACTCAATTACACTAGTCAGTTACAATGTATATAATAAAGTAGGTAGAAAAGTTTGTCTTCAACTTTTCGTGACTCAAATCACTTGACGATTATTAATCCAATGGTTTTCATGCAAAATTTTTCTAAGACTTCTATCTCTAATCTAACTCTCTCTTTATATATATATATATATATAACAAAATAAATATAATATCAATTAAAACTCTAATAACAAGAATTATTTCTAGCAAACTATAGATTCATTAACATATGTCGATTAGAACGAATCCAAAAAATTTATTTAGCGTAGACACTTTAATTATACACTCTAATTTTTTTTTTCCTAACCAATCACACTATATAATATATTATTCAATAAACGATGTTCTAAATATTATCACTACAATATTAGCATAGTAAAATTATTAAACTAAAATTTAAGAGGTAAACATAGTATACAAATAAAAATTTGATTGACATATAATAAAGACTATAATCAATACTCGAATAAAAATAAAAGATAATTTTTTATAAGAAAAACAAAGTGAAATGAGAATCAGTTGAAAGAACTTTCACTTACAAAAAATCATAATAAAATGAAAGTTATCTAAAAAAAGTCTTATTATAATAAAAAATACTAAGTAATTGAAATAAGAAAATTATAGAGTGAGTACAAGTAAAAAATATGTGTATAATTTTTAGAATATATAAAATATAAGTATACATATTATATTTTTTAAAAGAAATTGAGGATGGGTCGCGCGCTCTTGTGTAGCTTTGTTCATATATGTCATCCTATCTAGATCTATCTAATTATGTCTATATCTATATGATCTTAATTAGATTTTCATTTTTTTGGTATCTCTCTTTCCTACACTCACACAATCATTTCTCCTATAACTCTATCTTTTTATCTACCTCCTATTCATACACGCACGCACACGCTTTTCTCTATCCTAAACACATATAATAATAAAGTAACAGGAGTTGGAGAGTTTGACTTGAGCGACTATATATATTCAATAATAATAAAATAAAATTAACACCCGTTTAAACTCTAATATCTCTCTATATCATATTCTCATCTCTCATAAGTTTTATCCCATCTCTTATATAATTNCACACATCTTCCTGATAGAACAAAAAAAATATTATTTGGCTTATGCTAATCACAACCAAAATCACAAATTGTTGAAGTAGCTTTACAGTAGAAGATGTAGGCAAGGTCTCTTTGAAAAGGAGGAGAAAGCACAAGATCAGAGCAAGTTCATGCTAACTGGCCACTCAAATCATGACCTCAAATTGTTTAGATTTGACAAGAAATAAACCCATCAGCTCCCAAATCTTTTTTCTTTTTGTTTGTTTTGAAAGGGAGGGAGGTTGAGGGGGTTGCAAGTTTGGATATGATACATTGTAACACTTTCCATGAAACTAGAATTCGTAAACATAAAAAAACCACATCAGCTATTCAAATTTAATACTCTCCTACTCAATCGTACAACATAAATATGAATACTGACAAGGCCTTTACATGGTCAAATCATAAAGTGGTCTTTAAGTCACTATAATAAGATATAAATTTTGTATATGCCAAAAGTTGATTATATTTTTCCCAGATAAGAAGGTACTCTATGTCCACACTAAATCACTTCACAATGTCCTCACAAAAAAGAAAGAAAACAACTCACTCATACATGGTCAAAAACATAATGTGTTTAAATTTTATGCCAAATCCCGAGTTAGCGCCAGTTCACATGCCCATTAATTCTTGTAGTGCCATATGTTCATAGATCAAGTTTAAGTAGAATAAGAGCATAACAATCACAATGACTACAGAATATGACTTTGGCAAACAAATATAGAAATATAGAAATTCTACAAAATGAAAGATGAAAAACGAAAATAAACATTACCATGATGTGTTTCCCCAAAAACGCACATTGGAACAAAGTCTTTGAACATATTCAAAGAATAAGTCTTGGGCATGTTTCCAACCCCATTGCCAGCCGTCTCCATTGTGAACTGATTGCCATTCAGGAAAGATGTCAGATAGCTCAAACAAATGATTCGCAGGGTCTATTTTTCACGCAAAAACAAAGCAAAATGCCTTGGGCTCCTACCATGAATAGGTTTTATGAATAAAAGCAAAATGACTTTTAACTTTGCAGATAGTATCAGTGTTGTTAAACTCTGTAAAGCACAATTCAAAAGAAAACATATGCAGGAAAATAATAAAAGATACTGGGACTTGGATGGGTTGCGTTCACATATGTCTTCTGATCCACAATCAAGTGTGAATCATATGATGTTTATCTTCAACACAACTAACGACCCAGATCAAACCAAAAAAGAAAAAACCAACTAATGAGCTCAAGTCAGAGAGGAATGATATAAAGCACTGAAGTTCCACTACTTCTATTAACCCTCACTTCCCAACAAAACTGTTCCCAGCAAAGACACGGCAAAAACAAATAATAGGGAAGTTATAAAGATGAAAAATATAGTAAACATTAGTAATTCGAACCACCCTATTTCAATATAGATGAGCAGAAACAATTGGCAAGAGGTCTATCCAGGCAATATCACATAGTTAGTTCAAAATTTTTCATAAGCTAGGGTTTTGAAGGCCATGTTGAAAATCTAATTATCCTAATTTACAGAACCCAATTTTACCGAAATAGTTAGCTAGAGATCATGATTCAATTGAAATCAGAATTTCAAAATCCGAATCAAAGGAAAAACGTGTGTGAGTGTGTATTGGATTAAGGAACAAATTGTAAGCAGCTATTAAGAATATGAATACGAATATAGATACATATGTGCGCGCGCGTGGAAGAAGGGAGGGGATACCTGGAGGGAAGAGGGGTCTTCGGAACGGAGAGGATCGAGAGAGACGACGACCTTGGCGACAGGCTGAGAATCAGAGGACGAAGTATGGGACTGCCATGACTTCGACACCACCACTGGGCACTTCATCAGCCACACCGATCTCTCTGCCTTAGCCGTATCCAAGTTGGTACTGTCACTATTACTGCCGTTGCTCTGATCTCCCTCCATTCTCTCTCTCTCTCTCTCTCTCTGCTTACTGTGTTAGGCTCTTTGTGCTAGTTTGGCGGTGGTCATGTCTGAAACATGAGGACTGAACCGGACTATGAATAACTAGGTTTTGAAGAAGGGTTTTTTTTTTTTGGGTGTATCTACGTTCTTTTTATACTTATTTGTGAGAGGTTGTATGGATAAGAATTTTACTTCATTCAGTTGAATTCTAACAAAATTTCTTGTACATAATTTTATTTTCTCCGGCTCTCCCCCCTATTTTCTCTCGATCATTCTCTCTCTATTATATGGCTNGGGTATATAACAGGGGTTGTGGACATTGATAGCGATCGCATGATACCACTGCAAAGGAATATAACACAAAGTCCTATCTGATTGAGACACTTCATGTTTATTGTAACACTGCAAGCTGCCTGTTAATAGTTACATTCAATGAGCCTGATCAGGTAAGTTATGCATGACGCTACTAGCAACACTGATCCAGGTTAAGACAGCTCTANCTCAACAATATTTGAGGCAACGACGGTCAATTAGACTTTTTTTATTTTTTTTATTTAAAATTTATTATTTTTAATTTTGTAATGAGATTCAAAATTATTAATTATTTTTTTATTCAAATTTTACTAATATATTTTTTTGATTAATAATATGACTTTTGATCATAAATATTTATAGGAATAAAATTAATTTCTTCATTAATATTTTTATATTCTTTTTACTTATTTTATATGTTTTTTTATTATAAATAAATTCATTGTTATCTTTCTTTTAGATTATTTTTCTATTTTTTAATTCTACTTATTTATCTATTCTATGTAACTTTTACCTAAATTTTTTATTATATTTTATTTTTACAAAGAAGATCTCTATCAAAACATTTTTTTTAATAAGAATAAATGGTTTAATTGGTGTTTTGCGTTCAAATAAAAAAATAAATTTTATTAGTACTTTTTTTTTGTTAATTTTTTTTATTCTCTAATAAATGTGATAGTGTGAGGTGGTCTGGATTTTTTGGCCCAAATTTTTAATTTTTGTATTGATTTACTCTTTCAAAAATTATTTTGTTAAGCTATATTGTAGTAAATTTTATTTTTTAATTTATATTATATTATTGATCTTTAAATTTGAAGTCTTTTTCATATGTGAGGTCTAAAGCTTATGCTTGGCCTTGCGTTACTTTCCCTGTCTCTCTCTTATTTTCTCTCTATCTACCATTGATAATTTATTTATATTTGATGTATTTTTCATCTCTCTCCTTTATTTTCTCTCTCTTCCATAATTTTTCTCATTATTTCTCTTTCTCCTATTTTCTCTCTTTCTTTAATTAATATTACAACAACTCAATTACACTAGTCAGTTACAATGTATATAATAAAGTAGGTAGAAAAGTTTGTCTTCAACTTTTCGTGACTCAAATCACTTGACGATTATTAATCCAATGGTTTTCATGCAAAATTTTTCTAAGACTTCTATCTCTAATCTAACTCTCTCTTTATATATATATATATATATAACAAAATAAATATAATATCAATTAAAACTCTAATAACAAGAATTATTTCTAGCAAACTATAGATTCATTAACATATGTCGTTTAGAACGAATCCAAAAAATTTATTTAGCGTAGACACTTTAATTATACACTCTAATTTTTTTTTTCCTAACCAATCACACTATATAATATATTATTCAATAAACGATGTTCTAAATATTATCACTACAATATTAGCATAGTAAAATTATTAAACTAAAATTTAAGAGGTAAACATAGTATACAAATAAAAATTTGATTGACATATAATAAAAACTATAATCAATACTCGAATAAAAATAAAAGATAATTTTTTATAAAAAAAAACAAAGTGAAATGAGAATCAGTTGAAAGAACTTTCACTTACAAAAATTCATAATAAAATGAAAGTTATCTGAAAAAAGTCTTATTATAATAAAAAAGACTAAGTAATTGAAATAAAAAAATTATAGAGTGAGTACAAGTAAAAAATATGTGTATAATTTTTAGAATATATAAAATATAAGTATACATATTATATTTTTTAAAAGAAATTGAGGATGGGTCGCACGCTCTTGTGTAGCTTTGTTCATATATGTCATCCTATATAGATCTATCTAATTATGTCTATATCTATATGATCTTAATTAGATTTTCATTTTTTTGGCATCTCTTTCCTACACTCACACAATCATTTCTCCTAACTCTATCTTTTTATCTACCTCCTATTCATACACGCACGCACACGCTTTTCACTATCCTAAACACATATAATAATAAAGTAACAGGAGTTGGAGAGTTTGACTTGAGCGACTATATATATTCAATAATAACAAAACAAAATTAACACCCGTTTAAACTCTAATATCTCTCTATATCATATTCTCATCTCTCATAAGTTTTATCTCATCTCTTATATAACTTTCTCTCACTCTCTATACACCTGGCAACATACACACACCAATATCGACTCCTACTACAAAAAATTGATATTTTTTAGCTATAATGATTAATCTATATTTATATATATACTACTCATAAATGTCAGTATCTGTGAAATTTTTTTGATTTTCTATTTTATCCCTAATTATTATAATAAATCTAACTATACCCACTTATATACTTTCATCTAATTTTTGTTTTTACTATTATTTGATTTTCAACTTATTTTGGACTTTTTTATAAAAACTTCTAAATTTTTTTGAACTCATTTATTAGCATTACATTTATATACAATTTTCTATATCTATATAAATAAGTAAAAACATATATTTTTTAGGTATAATGATTAAATATATAAATCGTATACATGTTGATATTTTTTAGGAGTCGTGTTCTTAGAGAAATTTTGTTAAATTTTTTTAGAAAATAGTGTTTTCAAATGGNCTCTCCCCCCTATTTTCTCTCGATCATTCTCTCTCTATTATATGGCTCAACAATATTTGAGGCAACGACGGTCAATTAGACTTTTTTTATTTTTTTTATTTTTTTNAAATTGTTGAAGTAGCTTTACAGTAGAAGATGTAGGCAAGGTCTCTTTGAAAAGGACGAGAAAGCACAAGATCAGAGCAAGTTCATGCTAACTGGCCACTCAAATCATGACCTCAACTTGTTTAGATTTGACAAGAAATAAACCCATCAGCTCCCAAATCTNTAAATATTTATAGGAATAAAATTAATTTCTTCATTAATATTTTTATATTCTTTTTACTTATTTTATATGTNTTTTATTTTTTTAATGAGATTCAAAATTATTAATTATTTTTTTATTCAAATTTTACTAATATATTTTTTTGATTAATAATATGACTTTTGATCATAAATATTAATAGGAATAAAATTAATTTCTTCATTAATATTTTTATATTCTTTTTACTTATTTTATATGTTTTTTTTATTATAAATAAATTCATTGTTATCTTTCTTTTAGATTATTTTTCTATTTTTTAATTCTACTTATTTATCTATTCTATGTAACTTTTACCTAAATTTTTTATTATATTTTATTTTTACAAAGAAGATCTCTATCAAAACATTTTTTTTAATAAGAATAAATGGTTTAATTGGTGTTTTGCGTTCAAATAAAAAAAATGAATTTTATTAGTACTTTTTTTTTGTTAATTTTTTTTATTCTCTAATAAATGTGATAGTGTGAGGTGGTCTGGACTNTTACCTAAATTTTTTATTATATTTTATTTTTACAAAGAAGATCTCTATCAAAACATTTTTTTTAATAAGAATAAATGGTTTAATTGGTGTTTTGCGTTCAAATAAAAAAATAAATTTTATTAGTACTTTTTTTTTGTTAATTTTTTTTATTCTCTAATAAATGTGATAGTGTGAGGTGGTCTGGATTTTTTGGCCCAAATTTTTAATTTTTGTATTGATTTACTCTTTCAAAAATTATTTTGTTAAGCTATATTGTAGTAAATTTTATTTTTTAATTTATATTATATTATTAATCTTTAAATTTGAAGTCTTTTTCATATGTGAGGTCTAAAGCTTATGCTTGGCCTTGCGTTACTTTCTCTGTCTCTCTCCTNATTTTTAATTTTTGTATTGATTTACTCTTTCAAAAATTATTTTGTTAAGCTATATTGTAGTAAATTTTATTTTTTAATTTATATTATATTATTGATCTTTAAATTTGAAGTCTTTTTCATATGTGAGGTCTAAAGCTTATGCTTGGCCTTGCGTTACTTTCCCTGTCTCTCTCTTATTTTCTCTCTATCTACCATTGATAATTTATTTATATTTGATGTATTTTTCATCTCTCTCCTTTATTTTCTCTCTCTTCCATAATTTTTCTCATTATTTCTCTTTCTCCTATTTTCTCTCTTTCTTTAATTAATATTACAACAACTCAATTACACTAGTCAGTTACATTAATCAGTTACAATGTATATAATAAAGTAGGTAGAAAAATTTGTCTTGAACTTTTCGTGACTCAAATCACTTGACAATTATTAATCCAATGGTTTTCATGCAAAATTTTTCTNTTTATTTTCTCTCTCTTCCATAATTTTTCTCATTATTTCTCTTTCTCCTATTTTCTCTCTTTCTTTAATTAATATTACAACAACTCAATTACACTAGTCAGTTACAATGTATATAATAAAGTAGGTAGAAAAGTTTGTCTTCAACTTTTCGTGACTCAAATCACTTGACGATTATTAATCCAATGGTTTTCATGCAAAATTTTTCTAAGACTTCTATCTCTAATCTAACTCTCTCTTTATATATATATATATATATAACAAAATAAATATAATATCAATTAAAACTCTAATAACAAGAATTATTTCTAGCAAACTATAGATTCATTAACATATGTCGTTTAGAACGAATCCAAAAAATTTATTTAGCGTAGACACTTTAATTATACACTCTAATTTTTTTTTTCCTAACCAATCACACTATATAATATATTATTCAATAAACGATGTTCTAAATATTATCACTACAATATTAGCATAGTAAAATTATTAAA